GGGGGGGGCGGTGGGGGCGTCGTCTGCCAGATCGGCCTGGCGGTGGTTCTCTCTGTCATCACACTGGCCACCACGTTATCCAACGCCTTCGTCATCGCTATAATCTCCCAGTCGAAGAAGCTCCAAACTCCGGCCAACTTTCTCATCGCCTCCCTGGCCGTCACCGACCTGCTGGTGTCCATTCTGGTGATGCCCATCTGCGTCCTGTACACGGTCATCCACACCTGGACCCTGGGACAGGTCGTCTGCGACATCTGGCTCTCGTCGGACATAACGTGTTGCACCGCCTCCATCCTCCACCTGTGCGTAATTGCCTTAGACAGGTACTGGGCCATCACGGACGCGGTGGAATATTCCAAAAAGCGCACGCCAGGGCGCGCAGCCGGGATGGTGGCCACAGCCTGGGTCATCGCCATCTCCATCTCGCTGCCTCCTCTCTTCTGGAGGCAGGTGAAGGCCGAGGAGCTGACCAGCTGCAGCGTCAACACGGACCACATCTTCTACACCATCTACTCCACCTTCGGGGCTTTCTACATCCCCACCCTGCTGCTGATCGCTCTCTACGGACGGATTTACGTGGAGGCGCGTAAACGCATCTTGAAGCAGTCTCCGAAGAAGGTGGGGAAGAGGCTGACCTCTGCGCACTTGGTCACCAACTCCCCCGTCTCGGTGGCGTCCACAGCCTCGGGGAAACACGACACCCTGTCCAGCGACACCGGCTCCTCGGCGAGCGAGAACCAGGTGAAGGTGACAGTGTCGGACGCGCTTCTGGAGAAAAAGCGCATCTCTGCAGCCAGGGAGAGGAAAGCGACCAAAACTTTGGGAATAATCCTCGGCGCCTACATCGTGTGCTGGCTGCCGTTTTTCATCTACACGCTGGTGGTGGCGACATGTGAGAGCTGCTTTAACCAGGACTTATTTGACTTCTTCACCTGGTTGGGCTACCTGAACTCCCTCATCAACCCCATCATATACACCATGTCCAACGAGGACTTCAAGAAGGCCTTTCATAAACTCGTGCGCTTCAGATGCTGCAGACGCTGAACGACAACAACGCTCCTCCTGCTACCGCACTTGTTTTTTTTCTTTTTTTTTTTAAACCTCCAACTGATTATCTCTGACTCTAGGATCAAATACAAGACTCAATGTGAGCTATTAATGCATGCTATTGGAAGAACCATTTATTTCCAGTAACCTTTTTCCCCCCATTGTGGAGATCCAATAAGTTCATTTAACCATAAACAGGACAAATGGACCAGAATCATAATATATCATTTCCTTCCACAACTGCAGAACAACAAGGGTCACCTTTCCTTTTCTTTCTTTCTTTTTTTTTCTTCTTTAAATCCGTCAACGGTAATGTGAAATTATGATCCACCTTTAATGGGCCAAAGTCTTAATAGTGTAAAAATCAATACTAAGAAGCAAAACTGCAACACTGAACAAGAAAGAATGAGCGATAACGTCTCATCGATGCTGCTTTTATTCGACTATACTGACCTTCAAAAGGAGCAGAACACTGAGTTTTTTTTCTTTCTGTATGAATGGCACGATGGTACAGTACTGCTGATGGTGAGTCAGCTGCACAGGCCTCAAGTCAGTCTGACCTGACTTGGTGAGACAGAAAGGACAGCGTACACCTTGTCTATTGAAGAGAATTTTTTGGAAAAAAAAAAGAAAAAAGAAAAATCTCATTACAACAAGCTTTCAACATATTATGGGAAAGTGATGAGCTTCAGTCACCCTGGTGAAGACGGACACTCCTGCACATGAACAGAACGCTCAGAAATCTGCTTGTTGTTCCAGGCATTACGAAAAAAGATTAAAACAATATCAGCAAAATACTGTAGCTGATATTTACCCAGCAGATCTAAGCACAGATGATGTTTCCACTACACAAACATCGCCTTGTTATCCTCTGTGTGTGTGAGTGTGTGTGTGTGTGTGTGTGTGTGTGTGTTTGCCAAATGTGTTACTGTGTTCACATATGAAACCAATCCTGGCTGCAGAGACTGATTCAATGACTCAGAGCTGCAGAAGCAACGATCATTCGTGAGCGTTATGTGAAATAATGGAACAGTACGTCATTGGAAATTCATCTGTTCACATTCAGAGCTGCTGTGCAATAAAAAAAAAGTCTTTCAATTGTATGGTTGGTAGACATGTGTATTTTTTTTTCTTTTTTGAAATCTTCAATTCAAGTTCTAGGCGATTCACAGTTTCCACGGAGCCATGTCTTTCATTTTTGTCCCAGACGGCCGGGATAATCTGACAGATGATTTGTGGGTTTTATCGCCGTTTTAGAGTCTTACTTTGAAATCTAATAGGAGATTAGAGTAATGGACCCTGAAGATCACAACGATGTGAAAATGAAATGCATCACTTGAGGATCTGGCAGACATGGAAGAGCATTAAACAATACAGATCAGAGGAGGACGCACCACTTCACATCAGCTCAATTTGCCTCTTTTTGGTCTTGTTTTCCAGCCGACAGACGGGAAAAGATTCTGCTGTGGTTGGTTCTAATTATGGTTTGATCTCTGCACCAACACCTCCACTGCTGCCTCTGCTGCCGTCCCGCAGGCAGGGGAGGACACAAACTGAGTGGACACACTTCATAGTCATGGTAGGGACAGCGGGCAATGTGTTCCAATGTACTCCACTGCACAATATCGCCAGTGCATGTGCAAACACACACGCAGCCCTAGGCTCCTGTGTTTATGAATTTTCATACGACTCCTCGTGTATGAAAGATGAGTGCACCTGAGCAGGCAGACGTTTGAAGCGTTTCCCAGGGTACTCTGTGGCATTTGCATTACGATGAGCAAATATGACAGCATGTGCATCAGCTTATATATCAGCCCTGATCAAATTCAAACAATAATAAAAAACGCAATTTCCAGACATAGCACGGAGACACAACACAGGTTGGTGTCACTTCCAACTCAAAGTATTTCTTTTCGAATACATCAGGTCCTATATGGAAAAATACCATACACATACATATAGCCCAGTTATAAGGCTTAAATGAGGGGACTTTTACCCCCCTTAAAATTGCTCAAAACAACAATACAATTGCTTTTCAACATCAGACACACATCACCGTGCCTGGTTTCCTCAGGCAATGATTAACTGCAGTACAAAGCTGATATGTGTAAAGGCAGTCACGTACATCAGTTCCCCTCAGCTGGTATCCACCTGTCTCTCAGCAGGAGTTAAAAGACAGGGCCTCGTTCCTACAGCTCTATCATCTAGATGGTAGAGAGCATTAGTGCCTCTGCAGTTATGTCTGACTGTGGAAATATGAAGCTTCCGCAGGCCAGGAAATGTTTAAGTAGCAGAAAGTTATGCTGGGCTTATGGACATTGGACTCCTGTGGTCTCTCGTCCACGCTCTCTCTAACCATGGCACAGTATTTTGCCTGGTCTCTCATGTTGGACAGCACCTCCTAGTGTATAATTGTTTACTTTCATCCTAGTTTTTTTTTTTTTTAAATACTCACTGCCTCGAACACCAACAGAAATTTTCTTCTAACGAAACAGTTCATGTTGCATAGTACTTGTTTTAATATTTTGAGCATGTTATAGTTGGAATCAGAAATGGTTTCCACAGAAACAGAACAAGTTCAAAGAACCCCCTCCCCTCGCCGCCCCCCCCCCCACCACCACTAATGTCAGCCCAAATAAGTTCCTGGCTGTACTCTCTAAAAATATAAAACAGAAATACAGCTGCAGCCCATATTACAATTTTTTAAACAAAATTTGAGCTGAAAAAATTCCAACTGCCATCACACTGAAGTGGGCTTTATACCAGACCATCTGTGTGACGTCAATGGACTGATGATATTCAACTGCCAGTGAACACACAACAGAGTCTGTTCTTCATTTCTGTCTTCATTTTGTATGACACACACACACACATACGCTCTCACACACACATTAATTGTACAAATAAATCCGCACCTCTTGTGTTGTATTAGCACTATGGTGTGCAGCTAATACACCGAGTGGCTTTATTTACATGAACCACAGTGCTGCATTCAGTGACCTATAAAAATAAAGTCACATGTTTTAGACTCATGTTAACCCCTGTGCAGTATTTACACCTTAGTCACGTATGTATGTACAGTACGTTCATCTCAACCTTGTTGTAACCTCCTCGCAGCAGAATAATAAATATCGACAGATTTTCACCAGGTGCGTTCAATTTCATTTCATTTTTTTATGCGCTCAACTCCAACAGCTGTTATCTCGTGTTCTCAAAACATATAATCTGCTATAGATTCGCTTGTGACAACAGGAAGAGAAGGACGCACGGCCGCACAGATCTATAATCGACCAGATTAATGTTTCATGAGGGAAGAAGTGGATGATTAGCAAACATTTTGTGTTAGCACGGGGGGTTGCATAACCCATGTAGGTAACTCCTCTGTACCTGCAGCTGCTGGGGAAAAACACCATTCTCCCTGTTGACACAGGATGATTGTATTGAGCAAGCAAATAGATTAATTACACAACCAGATTTCTCTGTAATAGGCTGTTCTCTGTGCTGCGCTATCGCTCGGCCACAGGTCTGCTCAGGAGTGAAGGACGTCACCAATGCAACGGCCACTGAGGCCGAACACGTGGATAATGAACCTATAAAGTATTCCATCCTTGGTCAGCACCTTAATTGTTTCACCCCATTCTAGTTAAAGACGGCTTGCAGATTTCATCGCGCAGGGGAATTGAAACACAGGGGACACGAGCTGCCATTAATAAATTTCCTCCCCAAGATGAAAGCCGCCGACCTTGACTGGACGCAGAACAAATCAGCAACTCACAGACAACACGGCCTGGTGGAGAGAAGTTAAAGATGAGCTCCAAACTTTGATTAGTGTTTGGTTTGTCCTAGCTCGGTGGCTCACGAGTTTGTTTTTAACCACATGACTTGTCAATCCATCTACATGTGTCCACTGGCAGGTCAGATAACTCCCAGTTATCCTCCATAAGCTAAGATAAAAGAATTAGGTTAGGTTAAAAAAAGGGACTTGAAGTGTACAAACTGTGCCTTTTGAGAGTAGAGTGGGATAGAACGATGTTTCCTAAAGACTGGGTCGTGACGCTCAGGTGCAAGAGATTCTTTTTTGGGTCGTCTCGTATCATGTTTCCCAGGAGTTTACGAGTAATGTCTATTGACTTGGGTCGCGAAGGTAAAATATGGGTCCCCAGAAAAAAAGTTTGGGAAACACTGGGATAGAATAATCTAGAACAAATCAATAAAATAGAGTAGAGTGGAATAAACATCATGAAGCTTGGCAGCTCTACACAAACGCCATCATAACATGAAAATACATGAAAAGAGAAACTAATGTTAATTATATTTAATTATCTACATGAAAATTGTGGAATAAATGGTGACAAGACGTTTTTTGAATCAGCACTGCTGCCACTCTTTGCCAGCTCCTGGAACTGCTAGAGCGGTCAGGTTGAGAGTTAGCACACGTTTAATAAATTAGCCAAGGACCAGTGTGCTGGCACTGAGGCTCGCACAGAACAGGAACAAACTACGCGTCAGTTTAGTCCGGCTCAAACATGTGTTCTGCGTAGACGTTTATTCACACATTCACTCATGCTTGAATCACTTCACCTTCTTAAAGGGTCATATGGGAAGACGAAGCCGAGCAGAAATTGATCCCGTGAAAAACAATATCATTTGCGGGATTGTGTAGCTGTGATTCTGCTGTGTCAGTGGACAGTGTGGTGTGGAGCCTTATTTATCAGCCTGAACAGTGAACACACCTCTGCTTCACGTATGGATGGCGCTTTAACTGCACAGCATCTATGTGAGCGTGTGTGTTAAATTAGAGTCATCGGTCATGCATGTTCTCTCCGTGCTCCACGGCCGATCCCCCGCCACAGGGCATTTTCTTTTCTTTTCAACAAAAGTGGGTTAGCTTAAGGGCTCCAAGCAATTTGCACCGGCTTTTCAGCTGCAGTGGCGCTCAATTGTCAGTGTTGCAGCCCTTCATAAATTCACATGAAGTTCAAATTAGAGGACACACAAGAAAAGAGCCTCCCTACGTTGGCCATTCTGGTAGAGTAGATGTGTTTTTATGTGCAACCATCAGATGTGGAGACAAGTGAATCGATCACACTTAACGTCAGTGGTTACAGGCAACATACCAACAAATTAGGCAGTTGTGGTGGTGGGAAATTGGTTGGCCGTGGCTGTGTGTGTGTGGGTGTGTGTGTGTGTGTGTGTGTGTGTGTGTGTGTGTGTGTGTTGTTAGCAGATGTGATAGATGTGATCCATCCATCTCTACGTACTATGCATTAGGGATAAAATCACGGGAACTCAATTTAAAGGACGAACGACAAGGGTGTCATTGGCCCAGTGGTTAAAGGCTTGGGCTTGTTAGCGGACGACTGGTGGTTTGAATCCAGGCCAAGACACCTGGTCTGTTGAGCACGCACCAAAACTCCCCTGTTCCCTGAATGCACTAGGAAGTGCAGCCAACTGTTCCTGTGTCTGGTGTTAATTAGTGTTTGAGGGATCTGTTAATTGCAGAGAATTTATTGAAAGTATTGAGAACAATTAAAAAACAAACTGTTTTCATGATTTCGAAAACTCATTTCTGAGACCAACTTAAAAAAAACAAAAATACTGCATTTACCTGCCTGACATTTTAACTGCTTGTGATTCACCTGCTCCGAGGTCAAACACACTGAATTTTACTCAGTTGTTGTTAAGAGGGAGCGAGCCGAGCTCATTACAACACAGAGCATGTTCAGAAGTCATTCATTTCCTTTGTGAATCTCTTTCTCCAGAACATTGACTCCTGCCTTTGCAGCATTTTTTATTCTTTATTTTCAGAAATGTACTGTGGGTAATATTTAAACTTTATAATAAAAAAAGCTAAATGTAATTGTCACTTTTTGATGTGTTGAAGAATGTAAGCGACTACCGTCATTCACCTGCAGGATAATTTACATTTTGTTTATTAACCTTTTGATATTATGCCTAAGCAGGTGCACTGGGATGGAAACTTGACTCGCATGTTTATAATTTCCCCTTTTTCACAAGCAATAACAGCAGAAAATGTCACTGAAGTTATTAGCATGAAATCTACCTGACACGACCTAATTCAGCCTTTTTCTTCGTCTATTAAACCTCCAGCTTCACGTCACTCCAATAAACAACTTTTTCCTCATTCTCTCACTCACGACCAGCCTGCTTTGTTTTGAAACAAGCTTCCTGTTAAGGCCAGACAGTTTGACAGAAAGAAAGAAAAACCATTAAAAAAACCCTTGTGTTAACCTTAGGGATCCACTTGCAACCCTCTATTTTTCCCCCCACAAAAGAACTGGGTGAAACGGGGACAGCCTCTGATCAAGTCAGTGGAAGAAAATAAATCAATCTGTCATTATTGTCAGGTTTGTTTAGACTTATTTTCCCGCTATCTTCACTTACTGATGTCGAAAACAGGGATTTGTAATCCAATTTCACCTCATCATATTCAAGTCGGCAAGATAAAAAATATTGACTTGATGTTTATTTTTTGTTTGTTTCAAACTACCAAAGTCATATTAGGGACTAAATAGTGGCAATATAACCAAAAATATACATAGATATAAAAACCTGTGAAATTAAAGATGAAAACATAATTTAAATAATGAATATTTTAATTAGTTGTGAAGCAGCAGCCAAAGCAGTCGCTGGAAATTTGACAGGTGTGTGATGTTTTATTTTTTTTTTTTCAAGTCTGATTCAAATCAAGTCAATTAGGATTAACGGGTTTCCTCTAGCAATGCCATAAAACCTCAAATGACACGGGTGGAATTACTAAATGAAGTGTGAATCATATCTGCTGGAGTGTGATCATATGGAAAACATTATATCCAGACAGGCAGGCAGAATGTAGCTGTAAGGCAGCATTTTGATTCAAGTTCAAACAGCGGTAAGCCTAGGAGCCTTACCCGCCATCAGGCTAACAAAAAAACAAAAACAAAAAACATTTCTATTGTTATTTGAATAATAATAATAATAATAATAATAAAACATCATCGCCCGATTGGAGGATATGAGTGAGTGTAGTAAAGCCCCGACAACCCATTATCCATTCTTCCATTCATGCACACACAACAGCTGCACAATTGCGTCACTTTCTCTAAGTTCCTGCAGGGGTTAAAAGCACATTCGTCCCAGATGTCTAAAGTGACATTTTCGCTATTTTCAAATACCACTGTTTGATAGTTATGTCAGTGAAACTGAACAAAAATTGAAGTAATTTCGTCAACAACCAACACTAAACGAAAACTGAACAAGAAGTCACGCGGGCCTAAGCGACAATGACGAAATGTAGTAATGCATTCGGCAAATAATGAAATCCAGACGGGGAAAAAACGTGGCACGGACGAAATCCTATCAGCGCTGATTTCGTCATGTAAACAGGCAGAACGAACGCCGGTGAGAGCCAATCACGCGCGTCCGGTAGTGGACTAATCAAAAGACAATATGTAGCCCGGAGCGGGAATACGCTTATCACCAAAACATGTTGGTCTGAACAAATATACGGACCTCTTTTTTAATTTTTTTTTATTTATCATTAGCGAAAACACACCGTAAACCGTGTGAAAGTACTATTTGAGGATTAAAAGGTTATCCTTTGATTTATGTAAAGGTAAGTCGGCTGATGAAGTAAAATACGAATTAATTTCTTGATAACATTTTAATACTTCCTGGGTACTGGGTATACTTTAATCAAGTTACGTTATATAATAATTTTATATAATACGAATTAGTCAATTTCAATAAGTTAGGAATAGCAGTAATAATCCTAATTATACATGGTGCCTATTTAGAATGCCATAGAAGTCTGTTTATGCGTTAATTGTTTTTTTAGTTAATTTTACAAACAAAAATAGTTATCGTCACAATCGTTTAAAGCAGATTGACATTTCATCTGCTTAAACTAAAATTGTAACTGTTCTATTGACTAAATGGGGAATAAGAAGGTCCAAATTAGTCAAAAGTCTAAAACAAAATTGGCTGTCAAAAATTAAACGAGAACCATCAAGAACATATGGAGATGTCAACTCTAAACTATTTGACAATAAAAAGAAAACTTACTTAAGAGGATAGACTGCCAACCCTAAAGCTTTAGTTTAAAAACAAAACAAATAAACAGAATAACTTTACAAGTGTCACACACTTGTTTCAGAAAAAAAACGTTTCCTTCAGAGGATTGCACATGAATAATAACTCAGCTCAATTAAAATAAATTATCAGACATTTTCTTGTACATTTATGGTCTTGTTGTGTCATGTTTTAATATGTTGAATATGCCTAGTGTAAGGGGCAACTCGGGGTTACCTGCCGTGAACTGTAACCCTGAGTCGTCACTTGAGTCTTCTTTTCAGTACTCAGTTATTGAGCAACAGAAGAAGTGCAAACGTTTGCAAGTACATTTTTCCTCTGTTCATCATTACTTTCAAAAAAGTCCTCATCGAACTGCTATTCAAACCTCAGCCATGGAATGACATCAGAAGCACATATTCCCACCGAATTAGTTCAAAGAAATGCTTGATAACATGCCAGGTTCATTCAGCTGTAGGTGAGACGATTTAAAGATTCAATGGCCGGCTTCTTCAGCAGCTTAAAAAAAAATTCAAAAAATTCGACGAGTAGCGTCTGTCATTCAAGTAGAAAATTATGGCACCACATTTCTGCTAGCATCACACTATACTGCCATTAAACAATGACTAAAAACACATGCACACAAAAATTGAGCTGCTCAGTGTTACTTTGCACTTGTAATGTTGTACTCTATTTGCAAACAGGGACAATTATGGCAAATAACTCTGTTGGATGAAATGTTTTTATTTCTTTCTTCTGCAGGATGACAATAACATCTGTGACCTCGGGCGGCGTTGCTGAATTTGTTGAACAATACCAGAATCTTCCTCAGTATACAGTATAAACTAATAGAGAGAAAAACTGAATGTGCTTTTACTCCCTGAAAAATCGTTTTCCCGCACCAAGGACAACGACACACCACCCACAGTGAACACAAAGACTAAGGTCAGTCACACAGAGAAAACAAATTTCTACTGATTTTATCTGCAGAGGTGACACTGACTTTTGTCACCATTACATGCATGAAGGTGGTACATGTATGGCTTCAAAATGAAAAGATAAACTGCAACATCATTGATTTTCACATATAAACTGCTGGCGAGTTAAAAAGTGCTTCATATCTCTGTTAAAGTTCAAGCGGTTTGACTTCAGGACACAAGTATGAACATCAGAACTTCACAGGACCAATATTAAAAGGTCAACAGAGAGTGGCGCTAATAAAAGTAAGTCTCTTTTTTGTCACTTTCTTTTTCTTTGTGAACTGCCTCTGTGTTGTGATTTTATGCAAATGAGAGGTTAAGATTTAGGAGACCTTTATTTTCGCCTGCTGACAGGTGTTCGTGTATTCTTATTTCTGGGAAAATTACCATAAATGAGGAAGTGCAATTTCACTGTTTAGAATTCAAATGCTGAGAGAAAGAAAAGCATCTTCGGGCAAAGCGGGAGCTCCATAACCCACGTAAAAGCCGAGCCGACATTATTAAAAATGTCTGATCCACTTAATCTCAAAGTAAACTTCCCAAAATGCACCAAAAACGAGAAACTAGGACAAACAAACAAAAAGAAAAAGAAAATCAAACAATAACACTTCAAGCTGTCTTATACTTTTAGACTGTCTACGTTACATGAATATGTACAACCTTAATGCATTGTTAATGTTATCCAGCCGAAGAATGGTGTAACGTCATCTTGTTGTAGCACATACTTCAAATACTCTTCAGAAAAGATAGTACAAATGTGATAAAAAGTTAAAATTTGGAATTTTTAAATGCAGCATTTTTTTAATCAGATATTAAAATAGATTATTTTTGTTGTTTTAGTTGACGGACTTGCAGCTATTTGATAAATCATTTGATGTTGATGATTATTTTGAGTTAAATATTAAATATTTTTTCTGTGCTATCCAACATAAAAGTTTCCACTCTCAACCTTTACACACAGAGACTCTTTTCATCCTCCCACAGGTGTCGCTAACAGTTTCAATACAAATGCCTTTTAATCTCAACTAACCTGACCGTCGTCTGCTGTGTTCACGGTACTCATGCAGTACAATGCCCTTTCTGCAGGTATGTCCCACTCTATTTCCGTTTTGCTCTCAGATGCTTGCCTCCCACTCTGACCACCCTCCCCTCATCAGGTCCAACTCATTCCCACTCTTCTGCTATCTTTTACTACCTCTTATCCATTTCCCATTTTATTTTTAATTCCTTGGTGACACCCCCCACGCCTCCCCATGCATCACCTCCCTCCCACCTGTCCTCTGTCACTGCCCTCTCTGCTGCTCTACTGATTTTTCGACAATAGACACAATGGAGTGTGTCAATCAGGAACATGATAAACAGGCTGCATTTGGGAAAGATAGCAAGAATGACGGTTCCATCCTCCTCGTACCAGCATGGGAATGCAGCCTTTAAATTTCTGTCAGCTTTCATCGCTGGAGAGAAGCCTCCTGGGCAACTGTTGGCACCTTGTATGCTGAACAAAGAGATGAGTGGTTTCTCTTTTGACTACAGAGCATATCCCTCAAAAAGCCAGAGTGCTTTTAGCTTTCAGCGCATGACACATCTTTAGTAGCTCATCTGTTTGATGACTTTAGAGCCACCTCGATCAGATGCTTCCTCACATTAACATGGTGATGACTCAATCATTGCTCCTCCACAATAGATGTCCCAGGTGTTGGTGCTAAACTCAACCTTGTATTTTTAGAAGCGCAGCAACGGTGAATAATCATGACAAGCACTTTCAATAAATGTGTTTCATAAGGAGATTACTTCATGATAACACGACATTTAATGGCCTAGTTCTTCCTGTTTTTTTCTGTACATTTTGTAGCGATCTGTTGCTACAGAATTGGGGCAGTTGCACAATAACTGTCCACCAGTTACTTACAGTTCAGTTACTAAAACTTAAAAACATCCCAAATCATCTCAATGCAGCTGGCAGGCGTCAGTTGATCAGTTACCAACACATTAGGTTAAAGGTCTTGAAAACTCAAGCAAAATGAACGCACCTTGACAGCATAACGTTTTTACAAGAATTGTGGACAGTACAGTCGTGTAGTCAATACATTTTATGTTTGTATTATAAGCATGGCTCAGAAGCAGCGACGTGTTACTGTATTTCCAAAATAAAAAACCTGCTTCGACCTTTCGAGTGACGTTACGTTAAGTAACTATTTAGTTTGAAGGTTTAAAACTCAACTTCAAAATTCAAATTCTTCTCTCAGTTAACCTTTTGTAGTCTTACTGCATACGCATCATTCACTTTCACAGCATTAACAAAGGAGTCTGGTGGTTTTTTACGAGGGACTAAACCTAGGTGTAGGGACCAACCAGAGACTTTCTCTGTGCTCTCTCTTCTCACCAACCTTCATCACTTTCTCAGACTTACCTCTTGTTGGGTGCAGTCCAGCATAGTTAGTTAGTTAGTTAGTTAGTATGTTTGCATCTCAGCTTGAAACCCAGTCTTGAGGTCCTTCAAATACTGCTCCATGACTGTTTCCTCCAAAATGTCTTCTTTACTCTGACACTGAAGTTCACTCAGTTAAATCGCATGTCCTTGGGGAACACGTATAGTCCTGTGAGGGACTTATTTGGTCTTCTGGTTGAGCAGTGTCCATAAAATTAAAAGTTGATCTTGATTTTCCACATTGGAATTCATCCCTCTGCACTGCACCCACTGGTATTTGACTTCTGGTTGCCTCCACTGTGCAACACAGCTAGGTGTCCTCTTGGATGACGGCCTGTGGTGCTCGATGCTTCTGCTTTGCATTTTGCATTTCCTTATGGGGCTTCTTATTCTCTTACATCTTGAGTCACATGAATTATTCATCCTTTGCCGAGGTTGGAATAAACCAACCGTTTAAGAAATAGAATTGTCCATGGGCTTAGTGTCCACAGCAGCGCAACCTGTGGCCTTTTCTAAAGGCCCTGTGTCTGATTTGTTTGTGTTGCTAAAGGAGATGTTGAAATCCTTCAGGTGCTGCCATGTGCTTTTTCCTTATTCCTTACCCACAAAGGTATTTTGTATTTTGCAACAATATATGAAAGGCTTTAAGCTGATGAAAGCCCAGGAAAACTCAGACAGATGTTAAAAATGAACTAATAATACTAAACCCTAACCCAAAAAATCTTAGCTTCTGAAAGCAACCATATGTTCTACACTGGTGAATAAAGCTAAGCTAACTCCTGTTTAAATCAATAGTAGCTCCTCCCACTAAAGGAAATATCAATTATCTTACCGGCTTTTCTCTTTTTAAAAACCATATTTCACCAGTATTTTAATTCAGAGTGAGCCCTTTTATTATATGACTCTAAACAAAACAAATAAACAGAATAACTTTACAAGTGTCACACACTTGTTTCAGAAAAAAAACGTTTCCTTCAGAGGATTGCACATGAATAATAACTCAGCTCAATTAAAATAAATTATCAGACATTTTCTTGTACATTTATGGTCTTGTTGTGTCATGTTTTAATATGTTGAATATGCCTAGTGTAAGGGGCAACTCGGGGTTACCTGCCGTGAACTGTAACCCTGAGTCGTCACTTGAGTCTTCTTTTCAGTACTCAGTTATTGAGCAACAGAAGAAGTGCAAACGTTTGCAAGTACATTTTTCCTCTGTTCATCATTACTTTCAAAAAAGTCCTCATCGAACTGCTATTCAAACCTCAGCCATGGAATGACATCAGAAGCACATATTCCCACCGAATTAGTTCAAAGAAATGCTTGATAACATGCCAGGTTCATTCAGCTGTAGGTGAGACGATTTAAAGATTCAATGGCCGGCTTCTTCAGCAGCTTAAAAAAAAATTCAAAAAATTCGACGAGTAGCGTCTGTCATTCAAGTAGAAAATTATGGCACCACATTTCTGCTAGCATCACACTATACTGCCATTAAACAATGACTAAAAACACATGCACACAAAAATTGAGCTGCTCAGTGTTACTTTGCACTTGTAATGTTGTACTCTATTTGCAAACAGGGACAATTATGGCAAATAACTCTGTTGGATGAAATGTTTTTATTTCTTTCTTCTGCAGGATGACAATAACATCTGTGACCTCGGGCGGCGTTGCTGAATTTGTTGAACAATACCAGAATCTTCCTCAGTATACAGTATAAACTAATAGAGAGAAAAACTGAATGTGCTTTTACTCCCTGAAAAATCGTTTTCCCGCACCAAGGACAACGACACACCACCCACAGTGAACACAAAGACTAAGGTCAGTCACACAGAGAAAACAAATTTCTACTGATTTTATCTGCAGAGGTGACACTGACTTTTGTCACCATTACATGCATGAAGGTGGTACATGTATGGCTTCAAAATGAAAAGATAAACTGCAACATCATTGATTTTTAACTGCTGGCGAGTTAAAAAGTGCTTCATATCTCTGTTAAAGTTCAAGCGGTTTGACTTCAGGACACAAGTATGAACATCAGAACTTCACAGGACCAATATTAAAAGGTCAACAGAGAGTGGCGCTAATAAAAGTAAGTCTCTTTTTTGTCACTTTCTTTTTCTTTGTGAACTGCCTCTGTGTTGTGATTTTATGCAAATGAGAGGTTAAGATTTAGGAGACCTTTATTTTCGCCTGCTGACAGGTGTTCGTGTATTCTTATTTCTGGGAAAATTACCATAAATGAGGAAGTGCAATTTCACTGTTTAGAATTCAAATGCTGAGAGAAAGAAAAGCATCTTCGGGCAAAGCGGGAGCTCCATAACCCACGTAAAAGCCGAGCCGACATTATTAAAAATGTCTGATCCACTTAATCTCAAAGTAAACTTCCCAAAATGCACCAAAAACGAGAAACTAGGACAAACAAACAAAAAGAAAAAGAAAATCAAACAATAACACTTCAAGCTGTCTTATACTTTTAGACTGTCTACGTTACATGAATATGTACAACCTTAATGCATTGTTAATGTTATCCAGCCGAAGAATGGTGTAACGTCATCTTGTTGTAGCACATACTTCAAATACTCTTCAGAAAAGATAGTACAAATGTGATAAAAAGTTAAAATTTGGAATTTTTAAATGCAGCATTTTTTAATCAGATATTAAAATAGATTATTTTTGTTGTTTTAGTTGACGGACTTGCAGCTATTTGATAAATCATTTGATGTTGATGATTATTTTGAGTTAAATATTAAATATTTTTTCTGTGCTATCCAACATAAAAGTTTCCACTCTCAACCTTTACACACAGAGACTCTTTTCATCCTCCCACAGGTGTCGCTAACAGTTTCAATACAAATGCCTTTTAATCTCAACTAACCTGACCGTCGTCTGCTGTGTTCACGGTACTCATGCAGTACAATGCCCTTTCTGCAGGTATGTCCCACTCTATTTCCGTTTTGCTCTCAGATGCTTGCCTCCCACTCTGACCACCCTCCCCTCATCAGGTCCAACTCATTCCCACTCTTCTGCTATCTTTTACTACCTCTTATCCATTTCCCATTTTATTTTTAATTCCTTGGTGACACCCCCCACGCCTCCCCATGCATCACCTCCCTCCCACCTGTCCTCTGTCACTGCCCTCTCTGCTGCTCTACTGATTTTTCGACAATAGACACAATGGAGTGTGTCAATCAGGAACATGATAAACAGGCTGCATTTGGGAAAGATAGCAAGAATGACGGTTCCATCCTCCTCGTACCAGCATGGGAATGCAGCCTTTAAATTTCTGTCAGCTTTCATCGCTGGAGAGAAGCCTCCTGGGCAACTGTTGGCACCTTGTATGCTGAACAAAGAGATGAGTGGTTTCTCTTTTGACTACAGAGCATATCCCTCAAAAAGCCAGAGTGCTTTTAGCTTTCAGCGCATGACACATCTTTAGTAGCTCATCTGTTTGATGACTTTAGAGCCACCTCGATCAGATGCTTCCTCACATTAACATGGTGATGACTCAATCATTGCTCCTCCACAATAGATGTCCCAGGTGTTGGTGCTAAACTCAACCTTGTATTTTTAGAAGCGCAGCAACGGTGAATAATCATGACAAGCACTTTCAATAAATGTGTTTCATAAGGAGATTACTTCATGATAACACGACATTTAATGGCCTAGTTCTTCCTGTTTTTTTCTGTACATTTTGTAGCGATCTGTTGCTACAGAATTGGGGCAGTTGCACAATAACTGTCCACCAGTTACTTACAGTTCAGTTACTAAAACTTAAAAACATCCCAAATCATCTCAATGCAGCTGGCAGGCGTCAGTTGATCAGTTACCAACACATTAGGTTAAAGGTCTTGAAAACTCAAGCAAAATGAACGCACCTTGACAGCATAACGTTTTTACAAGAATTGTGGACAGTACAGTCGTGTAGTCAATACATTTTATGTTTGTATTATAAGCATGGCTCAGAAGCAGCGACGTGTTACTGTATTTCCAAAATAAAAAACCTGCTTCGACCTTTCGAGTGACGTTACGTTAAGTAACTATTTAGTTTGAAGGTTTAAAACTCAACTTCAAAATTCAAATTCTTCTCTCAGTTAACCTTTTGTAGTCTTACTGCATACGCATCATTCACTTTCACAGCATTAACAAAGGAGTCTGGTGGTTTTTTACGAGGGACTAAACCTAGGTGTAGGGACCAACCAGAGACTTTCTCTGTGCTCTCTCTTCTCACCAACCTTCATCACTTTCTCAGACTTACCTCTTGTTGGGTGCAGTCCAGCATAGTTAGTTAGTTAGTTAGTATGTTTGCATCTCAGCTTGAAACCCAGTCTTGAGGTCCTTCAAATACTGCTCCATGACTGTTTCCTCCAAAATGTCTTCTTTACTCTGACACTGAAGTTCACTCAGTTAAATCGCATGTCCTTGGGGAACACGTATAGTCCTGTGAGGGACTTATTTGGTCTTCTGGTTGAGCAGTGTCCATAAAATTAAAAGTTGATCTTGATTTTCCACATTGGAATTCATCCCTCTGCACTGCACCCACTGGTATTTGACTTCTGGTTGCCTCCACTGTGCAACACAGCTAGGTGTCCTCTTGGATGACGGCCTGTGGTGCTCGATGCTTCTGCTTTGCATTTTGCATTTCCTTATGGGGCTTCTTATTCTCTTACATCTTGAGTCACATGAATTATTCATCCTTTGCCGAGGTTGGAATAAACCAACCGTTTAAGAAATAGAATTGTCCATGGGCTTAGTGTCCACAGCAGCGCAACCTGTGGCCTTTTCTAAAGGCCCTGTGTCTGATTTGTTTGTGTTGCTAAAGGAGATGTTGAAATCCTTCAGGTGCTGCCATGTGCTTTTTCCTTATTCCTTACCCACAAAGGTATTTTGTATTTTGCAACAATATATGAAAGGCTTTAAGCTGATGAAAGCCCAGGAAAACTCAGACAGATGTTAAAAATGAACTAATAATACTAAACCCTAACCCAAAAAATCTTAGCTTCTGAAAGCAACCATATGTTCTACACTGGTGAATAAAGCTAAGCTAACTCCTGTTTAAATCAATAGTAGCTCCTCCCACTAAAGGAAATATCAATTATCTTACCGGCTTTTCTCTTTTTAAAAACCATATTTCACCAGTATTTTAATTCAGAGTGAGCCCTTTTATTATATGACTCTTAAAAACACAAGAAAACAGCATTTTACAACAAAGCTCTTTGAGTTCTCACCTACCATCTTTTTAAATGTGGTGCATTCCCACAGGAAGTTGCCATAAAAGGATTCAAAATGGACGGCAATGATCTAGCAGTTCCAGCATTCAAACTGACGGCCATGTGCTCCAGAGAACAGGTAAGAACATGAAGTACTGTAAATAAAACTACACATACCTTGTTTTCAATACAATGCTGTAAATATCTTAATTAATATCAACTAATTAATTTAAAACACTGATTCTAAAACTTTACATGTAGTGTGATCCCGAAACCTCATATATGTTGGCTGGATAATGTGTGTCAGAGATTTCCTCTGAGAAAAGGTAACATTTCGAATAGATCATTGTCTTTGTCCAAAACATTAAACAACAAACATTAAATCAAATTATTTAAGTGGAGATTCCCAACGATTTTATATTTAAAAAAACTAGCATTTGTACACAGTTCTATATGAATGGACTAAACTCATGTTATTAGCTCCCCCTGCAGGAATAGTAGGTGGTGTCACCTGCACTTTTTTTGTTTGCTGTGTGTACAAATGCATGACTTCTTTTAATTGTCAGGAGAACTTGTTGAATTTATAACTTTGGAAAACTGAAATAGTGACACACTTCTGTTTCTAAAAAATTAAAGAATGTCCCAAATGTTTTTCTTTTTTATATGTGACCCATATCTTATGTGTTTTTTGAGACAGTTTGAATTTTACAAACCAATTATAATTCAAATCAGACCCAGTTCCAAAATGACCTTGGTCGGACAGGGCATGTCACAGCAAAGTCACAATTCAGTGCAAAAAACTTTGTCGTCTCTCACGTCCATAGATCTGGGGTTCAGGGCTCCAGCTGCAGTGTTTGCAGAGCTTTTCTGACTGATGACAAAGCAATCACACTGACATTGATTGCATGACACCTGCAGAATTGAAACACGTGCTGACAAGTGTAGCATCTGACTCACCTCCTTCAACACAACTTGTGACTGACTTTTGCCACTTGAGGGCTGCAGACTGTTCACACAGTCTGATGCAGGTCGTATTTATTATATGATGTAACAACCTCTATATATTTGAGCATTAGGACCTGATGTGTCCACCTGGACCAAATAATTACGTGTTGGTTGTGCTGTGGAGACCTTTAGGAAAAAAAACAGGCAAATGTGACTCTTCCAGATTAAACTATAAAACAATTTGATATCAGTGTGACATTAATGGGTGACATAAAGTTCTAATATCCATCAAGTAAAATGACGAGCACTCTTCTGAATAATTTTACATAATTTCTCATAGACAAAATATGCCAGAGAGCTGTTTTGTTATGTTTCAACTGTTTATTTAAAGGTAATTAAAACAAGTTTTATGTGCATTTAATAAAGAAAACAAATGTATGTACAAATATGTCTCCAACTTACGTCGGAATTCCGTTCGTACAGTGGGACATTACTCTATTTTCACCATAACTCTGAACTTGCATACTGCGTGTAACTACCTATTTTACTTACCTACTCTAATATAGTGGCAATCATAATCTAGGACATAATGAAGCAAAAAAAAAAAAAAACCCGAATGTAAACAAAGTCATCTTTTGGATATATTGATGTGTGACAATGTTCAACACAAACTTGTTCCTGTGCAAAATCAGTTTTAACACTGTATGTCAGAATGATGATGAAACGCAGAGGTCACATTTCATTGTGTGCTGTGACATAATGACAAGTAACTCACAACCATTCCAGGTTCACTTGCATTCAGAAATATCGTACATACGTGCTTGTCGTACAAAGTTCTAAAAATCTAACGAGTCATTTTCTGCCTTTTAGACGCTGATATTTGTTGGTGCATTTGACTGTGTGTTGCACACGAGCTCTGCTGTGTTCGGAATGAAAAGATCCAGGGCCGTCTTTCATTCCTGTCACACACTGTTTAGCTCATCACATCACAGAGTATATAGCAGTTATAATTTGCACCCTGACAGCATTTACCCACTGAGTCATTTTCTCACTGCTTATCATTAGTTTCAACGCAGAATTTAAGTAGAAAAAGTAATTTACGGAGAAGCAGATGGGAATTTTACAGCCCATAGTATTAGGTTTGGCCTAATATATATATATATAGGCCAAACCTTATATGTTGTTATTTTTATTTGCAAGCAGTCATGCAATTGATGTCTGGCACTAGTTTGTATTGTTAAATAGTTTTCTCTCTTGTCATCTATCACTGATTTAGAACAGCACACATTTCACACTGACTTCAACTGAAATATTTAGAGGCTGAGATGGAGTTTGACTTGTGTTTTTCAAAAGACAAAACAACAGGAAAATGGTAATGGGTGGGAATAGCATAAAATAAGACACTGGTTTGAAAAAAAGATGCTAAATAATTGAGATCCAAACAAATATATAAAAAGTGGATTTAATCTGAAATGTTATATTTTTGTCTTCATACAAGTTCTGAATCCATCTAACCTCCCCCTCCCCCTGGAATTAAAATACAACCTACACACAGACAGTCAATTGGTCTTTTGACTCTTCTCTGCCCAAAACATGCTGCCCTCTGGTGGTAGTTGTGCAAATGTGGACACTAGGTTAGAAAGGTCAGCTTTTTATAGTGTATTTTTTTACTAGCACATTTTTGTCTGATCGTAAATAATTTAAAAATAAACAGTGAACTCAGTGAAAACATTCAGATTGATGTGATGTCAGCAACATAAAATATAATCCACATCGCTCAAATCCAAATATTCTGACCTCTGATTCCAGAATAAACATCAAATAATAATGTGAGACAAAAATGTGAATTTTATTTCATCTTTTTTGAGTGGTTGGCCACCAAAGTGTCTGTCCAGAAAAAAATCTGGCCCACCGACAAAGGTGGTGACGTTTAGATCCAGTTGTAAACACAATAACGCTTGATACTAGTTTCCAACAAATATATTTCACACTGTTCTCCCTTTATATTTTTCATTCCAGATTCATCTGAGGACGGCCTCATGTACTGTGTCAACTCCACTGCGCTGAAGTTGGTAAGTACACAGACAAAGGCACTTTCACTGCCGCAGGTCTCCTAGAGTGGATCACACTGGTAATAAGCCCAGGTTGGATTTTCCCTAAAGAGGAGCGTTCCCACAAACATGGCTCTAATATTAAACCCTTAGACCCTAGGCACTCATCACTCTCTAAGGGAAGGTTAAACCTCAGACCTCAATATGGCAAATATGAACGATAAAGCAAAACACAGACCCAGCAAACACACAGACCCTACATCATCCTGGATAAAAATACTAAAATATTAAATCAGGGCAATAAAACATGATGATGAAAACACTGCTGTGGTAGGTTTTGTGCCAAGACTTTCTGCCCGTCTGCTTTTATTGAGCATCCTATATAAATATTATAGACAGATTCACAGTGTTTTATAAATGTGTTTTTTTACTGTATGGCATTAATTTCATAAGTTATGAGCTGAAGTGACAGTAACTGCTGGGAGGATGAGTTAACTACTGTTGGCAACAGTTGGTCTTTTTTGGCTGTCTTTAAATTTTCCTTCTTCCCCTATTTAGTTGCAGCAGAATTGATATATGAGGGTAAGTCAGAAATTCCAAGGTGTGTGATAAAATTAAATCTACTCTCGGCTGACTGAAATAGACAAGTATAAACTGACAAGTTTTATTATTTTATTTTTGTCAAGTGTGGGACTGTGTTATTCTAGCTCTTAAAATATATATCAATTTTAAAAACCAGAGAAAAGTCTGATTAAGTCTTACCGAACCAAGCGTTTAAAAGTAATGGTGACGGTATAAAGATATTAAAGCATGGTTTTGGTTCGTAAGGTTAGGTTGTAAGTTAAGTCTGAGTTATTTTGAGACCACCCTATGTTTAATGGGTCTCCCACAAAAATAGGAAGTTTGTATTGGAAACACCGTTTAAACTAAAACAGATATGTCAAAAAAAAAAACCCAAAGACTTTTGTGTCCTAACACTTTTTGACGTCCCCTTGTATATTCTGGTTAGTCATTTAAAAAATGAGTGTTTTACGCATTTACACGGAGATAAATTAGCACCTGATTGTAACCTGCCCGCAGGAGCAAAAACTGTTTTGGTCTCATGTTCAGATAAATGAGGAGGTTAGCAGTGAAAAAGGGCAGCTGGTGTAAAAACAACATCAGTACCAAGACAAATATGCAAAGTCACTGAAAACAATTGCAGGAGAGCCGAAAAACTAAAAGGGACGTTGCAGTGACTGATGCACTGTGTATGGTTTATAGACAGAGGCTGTGTCTAAATAACAGGGGGCTGAGCTGGAGCTGGCAGAGCTGAAGATGTTGAGATTTTCATTGGAAGCGAGCAGGACAGAAAAGGATGAGAAATGAGTAGCAGTTAAGGTTCAGCGGTTTGAAGAGATAAAGAGAGAGAGAGAGTCGGGGTTGAGATGGTTCGGACATGTGCTGAGGAGAGATAGTGGATATATTGGACAAAAGATGATTGAGGATTCTTAGGTGAAGCAAAGGGGGGAAAAAAGATGGCGTTACGGTGAAGGAGGCGAGCGAGAGAGAGAGATGGTGGGTGATCTGCCGTGGTGAAGGAAGCAGAGAAGGCAGTTGTACACCATAACAATCAGTACCTGGGTGTTTATTAGATTATAAAAATTCACATTTACATTACTTTTACTATGTGACATTTATTATATTGGCCACTTCATTAGGTACACTCCAGTTCATATGCATATATGAGCTATACAGTATATGAGAACCCTACAGTATACACAAACTTAACAGTATATATTTAACCATCCAGTGTATATGTATATATATTTATGTATATATACATATATATGTATATATATCTATATTTATATATAAATGTGTATATAAGTACTGTACATATGAAGCTACTTTATATACATATATATACACAAACAAACCTGACTGTAGTGTATAAAAATAAAAAAGTCTATAAAGTATTCATATTTATATACAACTATAGTAATATACAACTGCACAGTACAAACTGTAAAAGACGAATCTTTACGAATCTATGACATTAACAACGACATCTGTCCTGAGGCTGAAAAAATATCAAATGTCGCAAAACTAGCATGGTGTATCTATTGAAGTGACCGCTGTGTCAGTCGGCTGGATGTTTGGTGTCTGGACACTGTCATCTGTGCTGATTATATATAAGGGCTGCGGGTTACAACCTTATGTTAAAGAAGCAGCAGTAGCTTCCATAGTCACACTGCACATGTAACTTATTCTGTCATAGCTGCAGATGATTGATGAAACAGCGGAGTGGCTCTCTGCTGTGCCAGCCTCTGCCAGCCACAGACACCATGGATCTGCCCCTAATGAAATAACCCCTCCTGTCAGATGGCGAGCAGCATTTTCCCCTTTTGCATAATTTAAACTAACCTCTCTAATTGGACAATGATTCAAGTCATCAGCCAGTGGGAGAAGGTCAACCTTGTCTGAATAAAATTGCGGTGGAGACTGACAAAGGGTTTGTTTATCCTGGGAAAAATATCAAAATGTCTCATGAATACACAGCCAAGTTAAGAATACATTATTAATCTACAAGATCCCTCTACAAGATTAGGCTGCTTTCATGCATTAATGATGATGATGAAATTCAGGGATAAGTATCAACTTGTTTTAGACTTGGTCTGATTATAATGTCATAATGTCAAGTCGGATCTTAATCCTAAACATGGACCTTGAATATTAAGATTGACTGCAACCTGAGCGGTGACCCTGACCATAATCCACAGGGATTTAGGTCAGGGTCAGTGACTGGAATAGTCTGGTTTTATTATATAACAAGTGTAATGCATGCATGTAAACCTATTGTGAAGCCATAACAGGCTGCATTGACAACATGCATTTGTAGAGATTTTACCTGAGAGTAAAACACAATTCTACTTGAGAGTGTAAAACGTCGGCTTTGTGTTGAGGTCGGCATTAAGAATTAAAAGATATTGGACAGGTGAAAGACAGACGAACGAAACAGAACTAATTAAGTCTAAACTGACCTCACAAACACTAAATGTGGCATTTTTTAATAAACTAATAAATAGGATCTGTCACAGGTGGTGAAAAATCAATTTGCTGTTCAAAGAAATTTGCTTTCCAAAGAAACATTGTATGGAGAGAAAAGACTAAAATATATTTAATTTAACAAGGACCTGGAACAGGTTTTATTGATAAGTCACCCAGGTTTTTTTGGACCCGAATGCAAAGGTGTTTGGAGGTGGGACGGGGGTCACCCAGGTTTTTTTGGACCCGAATGGTGTTGTTTGAATGTTTGAACAATGTGGAGAATGGTGATAACGTTTGAATGAAAAACTCTGACCTGGTCTTACACAACTACCTTATACGCAGAAGGTCTTGGGTTTGAGCCCAAAAACTCACACTGTGAATTTTCCCCCCTTGTGGTATGAATAAGAAACTCCAAATTTCAAATCACTTTATTACACTGTGTACAAAACTGTGTTCTGTGAGTGCAAAACCTCCAAAACACAAGTGCAGATCAGTCTCCTGTGTAAATAAACAACACCCTCACTTGTAAAGAGATGTTTCCTTGTTTTTAAGCGACCCAGTAGTCTCTGTTCTGTTATGTAAATCCCGTGTATGCTGTGATGACCGTGATTATGACGTGATTTGACTATTTTTTTTTATTTTTTTTTTACAACCTCAATGTGAGGACAGTGCAGCTTGTGCCCAGCGTTAATGTTTAAGCACAAAATTAATAAACATGCTTTTACTGTGAAGGATAAATACGGCTAATGTGACAGACGATGCTCTTTATGACCACCGCTCTAAAGATAATTATCATCCTGCTCAGTTGCCAGGGCTCCACAGAACATTTCAGTGTCTTTCAGATTCAGTTGTTTCCCGTTTTACTGCCACAAATGTACAGAATTTTTAGAGCGTCATTTCCAGCTGCAGCTGTTTCCAGCAAATAAAGCCTAAAACCTGTCGAGACTCTCCAGCTCGACGAATCACCCTGGCAAAGTTAAGTCTCTGCTCTGTGTGTGCAGGAGAAATTATGAAGGTAATTACGTGCCAGTATTTTAGTTATGCAACCTCGACTGCAACCTCAGTAATCACGAGTTCAAGGTTCAATCTGAAGGGTAAAGAATGATGGCAACGGGTTATGTTGCTCTTCAGGCAGCTTATTTATGGCAGCACATGCAAAAAAAAAACAATTCAATGTCACTGAATGAGGCTGTAAATGGACAAAATTTGGTGTTTGCCCACTCACTCCCACATAAATTAAGCATAGTAAATGTAATCAAACAAAAAGCCATGTTGTTGTGTATGAAAATGTATGATCAAAAAACACACAACAATGAAAACAGTCATTTCCAAGTCTGAAAGTTATACCTAAAAAATGTCAATGTCCTGGAGAGTCTTATTAAATATTCAGACCACATAGCCAGTCAATAAAAGCAAGCCATCTGTAGCAGTAGTGGCTAAATCACAAAAGTAGCTAAAAGCCAAAAACCACTAACATGTCTGAAAAAAGCAAATAGTTAAACTTTAACTAAAAAAAGCCCCCAAAATACAACTAAAACCTTAGAATAAGCTCACATTTTTCAAGCGATTTAGCTAAAGGTTAAAATAAACACTTAGTGTTAAACAGAAATGTTCTATGAGAACACGGTCAATAATAAAAGAAAGCATATTTAATGTTTTAAAGTTCTGGTTTTTACCAACCTTTTCAGAAAATTGGAAATGATCATGTTATATTGAGAAAGACCAGGAATGGCAATGGATCCTGTTCACTATTTGGGAACGTTTCTAATTATGTTTCTAAGTCAAATTAAAGAGAAACTGACTGACAATCGATTACATTATTTGTTCAGATTAATAATGAGTAGCTGTGGATGAATCATGAGTAATCATGATCGCTCACCTTTGTACTTTATTTTGATTAATTAGGGTAAATTGTCATTTCTAATTATGATAAAAATGTGCTGGACAAATAACAGTGTGTTTCTCATCCAAATGATGTATTGATTAAATAATAACAGCACAACTAAATAATGGAAAACTAAAATCCAAATAATAACAAATAAATCCGTTAACTATGTATATGTTTTTTCATAGAGTTGGTGGATTTAAATCATTACTGCAGATCGTAACGCTGCAGTGCGTATCTGGAGTTTCTTTCTACACTTCAGTGAAGCCGTTGTTCTTAGTAATTAATCAGTCCTCAGTCCTTGCAATCCGTTTGACAATTGTGTCCGTCAGTTTGTCAGCTATCGACTTATTTACTGCCTTGTGCTCAGCGATGTCAGTTTGTCAGCTATTGACTTATTTACTGCCTTGTGCTCAGCGAGGCTGGTCTGATGACTCTGACCAGAAGTTGAAGCTTGCGCTCGATGAGATTGTATTTTAGGCTCCTTCTCTGTGTGGAAACAGTAACGTGTGTAACAACTGTGTATTGGCTCAATGAGAAGTGAATGGGTGGTGGATGTTTCAGTGCATGTTGAAATGCGTTTTAATCAGATTAATCGCTGAAGCTAATTTCTACAGCCCTCAAAAAAAGTAAACATTTCTGACTTTTACTCAAAACAACCAGTGGTTCAAAATGTGGACACATTTAAGGCTTATTTTTAGAACATGAACGTCAATGTCCGTTTCTTCTGTGTGTGTTAAAGGCACCATCGTACTTGACTGGTCTTGCAGTCTATGCTAACAGTCATACTAACACTGTTCCTGCGAAGTGTGAGTCACTTCTTATCTACCCATGTTAACACAACACCTTTGGATCTTCCTTTGGTCTTAGATCCTAATTCACAGAGCACCAGGACTGACAGAGAATCAAAGAGGAAACTGCTGTTAGCCCCACCACTCCTGGAGGTTCAAGAGTAGATATCAGAGGAGGCAGATCAAACATATGCCGACACACAGGAGGGAGGACGGAAGCAGCAGTTTGGAATGTTTACACTGCTCTTTATATTCAGTGGAGAGACTTTATAATCTGAACTTGGCCGTGCTTCTAGAGTAAGAATGAGGCGCATTATTCTGCTGGCTGCTGGTTATGCAGTGCAGAAGTCCACACAGCTGACCTCGGCTGGCACTTGAAATCAGAGGCCCGAGAGGTGGGATTGGCTGTGGGCACACATGAGGAACAATGCATTAGAACTGGGAGAAAACCCTTAAGAATTAGGCAAACGTATCATGACACATGGAGGCAAACAAACAAACACACACACACAGGCTGGCTGTTGGTGTTATCCTGAGCTGACTGAAGGGAGTTTTCTTTTTTTCTGCTCTGTAGTGTGTTTGGCAGATCCTCAAGTTTGCTCAGCTGACAGATGAGGGTCCAGAAGGTGGCTAACAGGATGAGGCCGGGTGGCCACGTGCCCCCTCAGGGATTACAAGCAGTGAGAAAAAGGTAAAGAGATTAGACACAAGTCAGAGGCTGCTTTTTTAACCCTGTCACCGTTGTCACACTGACAGCCCTGGAGAGGGAAACTCCTGAGCCAAAATTCCATCCGTGTCCCTGTCTCTCCCTTCTCCACCTCTCCTCCCTCCCTTGTTCCCTGCGCTCATCAGTCCATGCAGTTGTCGCTGTTGTCTGCGGGGATTCAACAGGAGCTCTGCTGCTGCTGAGAGAGAATGTAGAACCTTGGACATCCTGCTTTGGTGCAATCTCTTAATGCACTCCAGGAAAGAAGATTTTATTTTTTCAGCTTCCAAATGACAACTTGAGGCTTTTGAACCACATGAGTCGGCCAATCATGCTTTTAAAGTCGGGACTGTTCTTCACTTTGTGTCTGTTCACCTTTCACGCAAGTCAAAGTGAAGGTAAGAATCAAGACTGGGAAGATGCCTTTTTTAATTTTTTTTTGTAGGTTACTTCAGTGTTAACAAAAGAATGATGTTCTGTGCTTCTGTCAGTGAAATGGGAAGTCAAGCCTCATTTATATAAACAAAATGAGAAAATGTAGCAAAGTTAGAGGACACTTTACCCATATCCTGCACTTTAGGAGAGACATTTGTGAGTTGCTAATGTGTGATAGGAGGAGCTGATGAGTCAGTGAGTTTTGGTTTAATGTGTGTGTGACCTTGCATTTTAAACATGTCTCTCTGGAAACTTCAAAATCCCTGAACAAAGAATTTTTTTTTTTTTTTTGCGAGAATGTCAAGAAGCCATTGAACCACTCTTAGCTACATGAATATTCCTGTGAATTTAATAGGCAGTGGCATGCACTGCAGGAGAGATAGCGCCGTTTCACCAGTGATAACATTTGCATCCGCATGGTTGTCTTGTTCAGTGTGATGTGTCCGGCCAAAAGCTCATTATCCCGAAGGAAACAAAAGCTATTTTGTTTGCACCGTTGCAGAACACTAATCTTTTCTGGCTTGTTGTTCAGCTCTGAGGCTGAATAAGTGGGCATTAAGGCCTAGACCCCCGTGTGTGAGCATGTGCAAGTTAGTCCTCAGTTCTTTCCAAAACTCTATTTAGATGTTTATTCTGGAGGAAAACACAGTTGGTTGAACACCTGGCCTTTATATGACCTTTGGGACAGCCTGATGATAAACATGTCTGTCTGACTGATGATGACAAAGATGTGTTGCTCCTAACAGTTAAGGGTAACACATGCAAAAATATCAAAAGGAGAAAACAGAGTGATTTACTAAATTGTTTGCCTCAATCATTTTAGCATGTCACAGGAAGCATATGGAGAAGATTTGGGTTAAAAAAAGAGTGGCACTTTAAAGAAAACAGAAGAAAATATTAGAACAAAAGAAAAAAAAAACATTTAAGTAAAAGAAAAGACATGAATACCAGGAATAAAAGAGATGAGTAATGAGGAAAATAATTAAATATTTAAAAAAGCAAACGTGAATGCCAACTGTAATTATGAACAGGGCTTTCTTAGGAGGAAAAGAAAGAGTCTGATCATTGTGATAAATCTCATAATACGTAAAATAAAATATGAAATGTGTTAAATGTAGAAGTCCTCTATGTGTAATTTTCAATTGGAAATGATAGATAGAAGTTTATTAATCCCTTGGGAGTTCCCTTTGGGAGATCTAGGGTTTATTAGGGTTTATTTTTGCATTTTAAATTAAATAAATTATTATTTGGTAGATTAGTGATGTAGTAAATGGGTATAATCAATGCTTAGTTTCATTTAGGAAAAGAAAAACTTTGCATCCTCATAAATGATGCAAAAGACAGCACATGGTGTGGCCTAAAAAACTTTTTATGCAGGTCATCAAACCCCAATGGAAGTATGTGAATTCAAGAGCAAAACTCAACAATTTGCAACACCAAGAGAGAAAGATTGTCTGGGACCTGCGTCGATCATTATCAAGGCCACATGCTGAAAAATAAACACTGAAGGAAGGACCCGGAAAAGTAATTAAACTTTACCTAATTATCCTTGGTATTTTCAAATCCCTAAAAAAAAGTTCTTATAAATTATTCATGTTTTCCCTTAAAACATAAAATTAAGGTTGTCCTTAGCAGAACCGTTGGGTTAAATATAACATTTAGTTTCCTACTTACAGTTATTGCAGTTACGTTCAATGTGTTGGAGCTTAAATTGGCTTTTACAGCAGCCAACCATGTCATTAGTCATGGCAGAGGAGATGTAAATATAAGTGACATTTTTACCATATGTACCATCAATGCACAGGCTTCTTATGGAACAAATGAATCACACTGTGTTGCCATGCCATTAATGTTGCTTTAAAAACACAGCTATGTGTTATTTATTGAAATAATTTGGCTTGTTTTATTTTCTGTGTTTTATCCTGCTGCTGCTGTACACGGTGTGGCAGTTCCTAGCTTTTATTTATGTTAGCTCAGTGGCAAATCTGTAGTACCTCGGTTGCAAATTCCATTTCTCCTTGTGTGAATGCAGGCTGTGATGACAGTAAAGCTTCCTAAATCCTTAAATCCTTGAATTTAAGAGACATGTCCTTCGGTTAATGACCTCCTTCCTATGAATCTCCATGGATTTTCAGGTGGACAATACCAAGCCTAATTCCCCAACCCCTAACAAAAGCGTGGCTCGTTGACATAGAGTGGCCTGGTGCATCGTGATGAGAAGAATAGCACAATAGTGACATGGTCTGCTGAGCATGTCAAGTCTTGGCAATAAACGGGCAGAAGTTTTATTTTTATCCTTAGGTTCAAAGCTAAAAAAAAAGGGGGTGTGGGCGGTCGAAGGGGGTGTAAAACTAAATTTGTCTCTGTCAAAACTCTGGTAAACTTTCTAATCAAGTTTCTGTATGTATTTATTATAGTTATGGTTTTCAATTGACAAATATTTTAGTCAGGTTAATCATGAATAATCAATGATTAATCACAATGTACAATCATGATTAATCATCAATCATGAGTAATCATGATTGTAATTGAGCATGATTAATTCAAATAAATCAACATTCCTAAATATGGAAATTTTTTCTCTCCATATTGCTGTCACAGAAAATCCCTTTTTTTTGACAATCGTCAGTGGTGAAACTGTTCTGACACAAGTCGGGCCTCAGACTCGACAAATACAGTGTGGAGATTGTTGTAGTATTTTGAGCCACAGTTTGTGTAAAAAAAAAATGTGTGTACCTGTATACTGTGTATTAGAGAAACAGTAAGTGGATGCACAGTGGAATATTGTGTCGTTCTGTTGTAAAATTAGTTTAAAATGTGAACATAATCAATCTTCACAAAATAATTGAAATGAAAAATGCATTAATTTTGAACTCCCTACGTATAGTTAACAAGTTTAGGAAAGGTGTCGTCATGCCTTATAATTAAACATTGGAAAACATTCATTTTAGAAAGTATATCAACTCTTTTGAAGAATAACTTTGCAGCCTTGTTGCCTTATCACAGTGTTTGTCTTTGCAGTTCTGCGTTGCCTCCCACCACCTCATCTCCAGCTAATAGCTGGGTGATTATATTATTTACAATCACATGCTGTTTTTATTTTTCTACAACCTTGATTGTGTTCTCTAACCCAGAGGAAGTGCAGTTATTTTATTTTTTATTTTTTTTAAGGTGGAACTCGACCTCCAGTCTCTGTTGTGAGTGGGGGAGAAGGCTCATAAATCCTGGCTTATTGTCTCAGGAAACCCTCTGAGTTTTGCCACCTGGCACCACAGTCAGTGCCTCTCTTCTAAAATAGCTGCATTCACTGGGGTGACTGCGCAGGACACAGTCGGCTGGCACACCGCCTTGTATAATGGTGCGGAATTACCTGCTCGCGATGTCTCAGCAGGATGACCGAGCTAATTTCTTTTCACTCAGGTGATCAGATAATTAGGGCACGTCTCCTCGTCAGGTCTGCAGCATCCAACAGATGCAATTTATGAAAACAGACCAGACTGTGTTTGTGTACTTAACGGAAACACGTAGATCACACGACTGACTTTCAACTACACTCAACTGAAGTACAGTGTTATCTTCAATTTTATTCTTTTTATTGTGTATCTGAACTAACGGAATATTTCTTTTCAGTCGTTCAGTCGTCACTCGGTTTCGCCACATATTTACATGTGCAATTTTCTCCACATTAGCACTTCAGGCACGTAGCAGAATCTTGAAGCGTCAGATCTCTCACAACCAAGAACTGTAAAATGTATTGCACCTCAAGCAAAATGCGGTCACAAAATAGACTCTGAGGGAACCTAAATAAATATATGCTTGTCACAGCGGCAGGTTAAGTGTTTTAACGATGGTGACAGTGCAAACCACAGTCGAGAAACTGTAGAGTGATGAGCAGAGGTCAAAGCAAATGTCGCATAAATCGGTCGCATTAATGCAGTGTTTGTCAAACGTTTTCTGCAGCGCCCCATTAGACAAGCCCCGCCCATGAGTCAAGACATTCTCAGTCTACTGAATGAGATTTAAAACACTGTTTTCTTTTTTCATCAACAAAGATCAATACAAATAATACAATAAAATAAAACATGTATTTTGTTTTAAATAATGGGATTTTCCTTCTATAAAATCCTTCTTGTTAATGCAATGTTGAGCAATTTTTCACATTTTAATTTGTAACTATTTTTTTAATAACCTTTAGTTTCTTTCTGCACAAAAATAAATGATATACAAAAAAAGGTTTTGATGCATTATAAAAAAAGATATATATTTAAATGACTTTTTTTTTTTAAAGCGATTGGTTCTAGATACCTAGCGCTTAACTATTAAACTTATCTAATTTATAATTAAATATATTATCAGCTTGCAAGGAGAACCAGTCACGTTCCATGGTCACATTTTCTAGATATTCATTTATTTTTTCTCTGACTCCAACCAATTCTCTGTGATACTTTTACCGTTTTCCATCTTACCTTTTGGAGCAGTAACGATCACACCAATCTTTTGACGAGAAAGGTTTTCAAATGCCGGTTGTGTGGGGAGAAAAAAAAAACCTGTCAAGGTTCAACAAGACAGGGCAGTAACAATGGGGAGACTGTGGCAGGATACAGGAGGTGGATGCTACAAAATTCTATTCATGTCTAAAGTAAAGCAGCAGCCAGCTCACACTGCAGTGTGCAATATCTCTTTGAATCAAAAAGATCAATAAACCTCTCGCTGCTATGGAGTCAACATACATTTTTTTTTTTTGGCAACATAAACCTGTAAAGGTCATGTGGGAGCCATGATAATGATTTCCAGGTCTGCAGACAGACTTGCATATATATCCTAGTCATTTCATCATTGAAACACTGTTCTTACTTCTCTGTGGTAGATAAACCTGTGATTGGAGGGATGGTATCATGTGGTTTTACACATGGTTAAATTTAGCTGTTACTCAGCCAGGATTCATATGAGATGCTGAAAAGTCTGATTAATATGGGGTTTTCCACAGGATTTGTGGGCATGTTACACAAATTAGGTTCTGAAAAGGGCAACTGGTGACAGTATGTGTTCACTTGTATATTTTGTAGTAGAATTTAGAATTCATTTTAATGAAGACACTCCACAAAAATTGAGATGAAACAACTTTGATATCCCACGAGCTACATCCACTTTAGATTTAATTAAACTAACTAACTTTAGGGAAATTTTAAAAAATGATTGTAACACTTTTTCAATTGAATTGCTGTGACAAATTTTGCGTTGCAAATTTCCTCAGCTGACCTCTCTTTCTTTCAAAAACTGTTCCACAATGTGATTTCAGCGCTCAGATGTTGACCAGAGTGCAATTATAACTGTCTGACTTCTCTCTCATTTTTCCCACAGACCTTCAGGACCACGGTTTTCCAGGACTCAGGGATGTGAAGTACAGACACTTTCTGGGTTCAAATAGACCCAGCATCCACCATAGAGTATGGCATGGCAGACACCGGGTGAAGAGGTCAGAACTGTTCACTACAGGGGTCAAAGTCTGTCCCCAGGAGACGATGAAAACAGTCATCAGCAGTCATCGAGTCTACTACAAACTCAGAGGTAAAGCTTAACCTACGTTCGTCCTGTTCACAGCAAACAAACAAGTGTGAAAGTGAAATTTGCAAACAAATCTAAAATGTCAACCATTTATTGCATTTAAAATGTTTTCCTGTTCTGTTGTTTTAAAAAATATTAGTGTTTCAGCTTTAAAATCTGATATTTTATATTATAAAAACAAATATTAATAATTATTGATCAAATGTTGATCAAATTAAGTAACACCCTAAGACCAGAGCTCAATAAATACCTCCCTCTGTATAATATGACTGATGTACTCCAAATATGTTCAATTGTTGTATAGCATTTATAGCATATAGCAATAACATTTCTTCGGCATTGACTAAGTTGCATCTTGCAGTGAGAGGAAATATCAAAATGTTGGTCAGGAAAAGATTTCAAGAAATGTTTGAAGGTATTAAAAAACACAATAGAAGAAAATGAAGATAGACATGAAACTGAGAAGATATGGCACAACAGTGACTATGAAAAACAAACAATTTGGAGTTTTTCCAAACTGATAAAAACAAATAGCCAGGGAGGCTGCAGACATTTCTGGCAGGTACTGTTTGTGCCCTACATAAGGCGACAATCTCCTGTTGTCGTAAAGTACGTTGTCCTGACTGTGGGTTCGAAAAACAGAAGCGTCCTGTTCTGAAAAGAAAGACGCAAGACTGGGTAAAAATAGCAGACCCAAATTATGTCTCCTAAATGTCTGCAAAAAAAATGGTTGATCATCCAATGAGACACGTGGTGTTCTTTTCTTCAGAATTGTGGTGGGAAGAAAACAGTAAAAAAAAACTAAAGTTTTTCTTTCAGGATGTGCTTACTATTGTTTTATCCAGGGCTGTCAGTCGACATTATTTTCATGTTCACAATTTATTTTAACTGCTCTAAATACGCCTGAAGTTTTTATACTCTTATAAACATGGGAGTCGACAAATATGTTTGCTACATGCAAATTTCTATTTACTGTTGTCGTGACAACAGCCCAAAACAAGGACCATTGCGGTGTAGAATATTTTTCTTTCTTCTCTTTGCACTGTAATAACAAAAGTACTTTAATATTGAATTATTTCTAAAAGTTTCATAATAACTCTCTATCTAATATCTATGATTTTAGTCAATACCGTGGTTCTTTGTAAAACACAATAAGAATTGCTTTCAAAATTTCACTGAATACTTAATTAGCCTACAGTCCTCTGCAGTCGGCCTGTCAGTTGTTGACTAATTGATGTATCTGACCAGAAGTTGAAGCCTCAGCTGGATTAGACGGTATTTCACTTCCCACAGTTCATGCAAATGGTAACGTCTGTATTGACTATGTACAGGTATTAGAGCAACAATAAGTAAATGGATGGTGGAGTTATTGGATGTACAGTGTGTTCCACTCTGCCCATGCATCAAAATGTCATCAGATTATTCTTGTCAAATTAATTAATCCGATAACTCTTACAGCCCGAGTTTGAATCAAAGATCCTCGCGTCTTTGTTTTATTTTGAAAAACCCGGCCTTTCAACAGTGTTGAGTGGACTTGAGTGCGATCCACTGGCTGACACACCAGAGCCTTTTAATAGTGACTATTCATACTCACAAACCAACACTTCATGTAATGAAGTTATATGCTAATATGTTTTGTCTGGGAGAGATGGATTGTGCCTGAATAAAGATTGCCGTCTGTGCTGTTGTGATGCAGATTGCTCCACAGCAGCTGTTGTGTATGATTTGAAAAAGAGGGCTGATTAATTTGGTGCATTGAAGCTACAGTATCCGCTCCTCGATTGTTAAGAGAATGAATTTCCCACAGGCATCAAGATATTGGACAATGTGGGGCTGGCTTCCTGTCCACAGGCAGATAAATCATATTGCTGCTTCGGGGCGCCTTTGTACTCATGAGTTTAATATTCACAAAAATGTCAGGAACACGGAGCGTCCTATAAATGTGGTTTGACATTTACCGAAACAGGCATTACTGCCATTTTACGCTGTCCGAGGAACATGGTTGTTAATACATACATTTGATGATTTATTGTAGTACAGTGGGGTATTTAATGGGTTCTGCTTCCATATCTGTCATGTCACATATTTCATTGTGTCAGAAAGTCCAAAAAAGACATTCATTAAGACATGTGATTTATCTGCAGTGTGTCAGGAAGCCATCTGGGAAGCATTTCGGATTTTCTTGGACAGGGTCCCAAACTCGGAAGAGTACAGAGCGTGGGTTTACACCTGCCAGACAGAGAACCTTTGCATGGACGACCTGGCTCAGAACTTCAGCAGTTCTCAGGAGCATCTGGACATGGTGGCCAGAGTGAGTCCAACACACACAAACAAACAAACTTTTTTTTTTCTGAATAATGCATCTTACTTCCAGTCTCCAAATAAATATGTGACAGCCCTTTTTTCTGTTTCCTGTTTTCTATTCCTAGAGAGTAGCTGAGCAGGGTGGAAGTGAAGGGTGAGTGGAATTCTTTTCTTTTATATTTGTATTAAATATAAGTCTCTAGTGCAGTGAATACCCCTTTGTATTTCGTCTTTTCTTTTTTTTTAAAAGAAATGCTGTTTTTCTTGATATAATATTTCACAGAAACTTTCAGAGAAATATGAAGGATCGAGTAGAAGTACAGTATGTGGTTGGATTCATGTATGATTGTATTTTTAGGAGAAGAATTACATTTCTCTTTACAAAACCTATCGACTCTTTCCAAGAGAGCAATTTCAGAAGCGCTGGGAAGCTAGGGATTGGGTGCTGGCTCAACACAGCACACAGCAGGATTCAAACCTGCGATCCCCTGATAGCATTGCTGATCCTTCTACCATTAGGCCACAGGCTGCCTGTGTTACGTCTATATATAAGTCAGGTTATCAAGTATTTCTATGGATTCTCCCTAAAAGTTCCATACTAGTCCAAGTCAACATAAACCACAAAATTGTCCAAAGTGAATTATGACTTTGGATTAAACTGTAGAAGAAACTGTAGAAAATAGTGAGTCAAGGACGCTTTGGATTAAACTGTAGAAAATAGTGAGTCAAGGACCAAGTCAAGAAGACCTGAATAGACCCCAGAGTTTCAGTGTATGTTTGGGTGAATAAATAGTCATATCTGGTGAAGGACAGGGTCTCCAAGTGAGAGTTTGCATCACAGATGAAAACTTCAGGTCAAGTATCAAAGCTTCATAGTATTGAAGGAACTAAAAAACATTATTGGACAAAGGCTTGATGTGAGTATCTATAGTTTAAAGGAAAGAAAAGTCTGAATTCAAGTCAGAGATGTAAAGTTTAAGTTCAAGTTGGATATTTTCCATAAGTGGAGTCTGCACAGCTTTAAGTCGACACAGTTGAAGGAAAGTTCAACCTAAAGGCATTTCTAATAATTAATTTTTTTTCTTTTACATTTCTTTAGAGATGTCACTGGAATACCAGAGCGAGGACGAGAATGTGAGTTAGACCTATAAACTTTAAAGCAGTGCTTCCCTACCTTTTTGGAACCATGTCATATTACTTATTTTAGAAAAATCCTGCATGCACTAACAAACTGAAATATCAACCAAAATATATGTAATAAAATAATTTGATCATCTATTTTAATATGGTAACAAATCATTTATTCACTGTGAAACCTGTGCCTGTTTAGTTTAATGCAATGCTGAGACAGTTGCAGGAATTGAAGAAAGACACACTCAAAGATCTTCATCTTTATCCTTCTCATCGTTATCCTTCTGAGCCTTATAAATATACGTAGTACTCCTCCACTGCCACCTAGTGGACGAGTACCTTAATTATTCTGCATGTCACTGTGGCATAGACGAACAAAGGCAAATCATGAAAATTTTCCACGGTACACCGGATGATCCCTCACGGCATATTAGGTTGGGAATCAGTGCTTTAAAGAAGACAGCGCTGACATAACTATTATTTGCAAATAAATGCCAGAAAAATTAGCTGTAGTGTTTCGTCTCAGGTACCTGGACACCCGCGCCAATCCTTTTACCAACCGAGGCATATGAAGTAAGACGCTAACACCTTTTTACCATCAATGTTGTGTTATGTCACATTAGATTAGCTCTTGCTATTTAACATGCTCTTTGGTTCACCAGAGCACACAGCACCCCAACGTGATCAGTGAGAATTATCAGAAGTATGTCGTTGAATTTAGCATCACAGTAGTGGATCCTACATACAGTGAGCTCCTGAGGGATCCTGAGGATCCACAGTACAGTGATGTCACACAAAAGTTGACAGACAAGGTAAGACTTAAGAGCTTTTACTCCCCTGAGCTGTTTTTTTTTCTAATCATCTTGATCAAGGCTTAGTGAAACATCCTACTGAAGTCTTTTGCTCATGATTCATATTTTGGAATACTCTCAATTTCCTCACAGTTTGACTTTTCTGGACCATTCAGAGATCAAAAATAACAACATACATCCTCCCCTGCAGTACGTCTTAGTCACTCCCAGCACCAGCTGTTGCATGAATCCCCCCACCCTCTCCTCCATCTTGTCCCAAATGTTCTAATCAGATACAGTATTTATTTAGTGTTAGACATTCAGATCTAAAGCAGAAATCCTGGACCAAAAAGAATTTACACAGACACATCTCCATTTGATCACGTTAATCAAGGTTATGCAGATTGAAGAACTTTTATGTCCAAAATATGGCTCTCGGTCTACCTTTGTTACAGGTTAGATGTGGTCTTTGACTTTAATAGTTTAAAATCGGTAGATTTTGGCTATCTTTACTATTTTGACTTTGGTTAATTACTACTACTACTACTACTACTTTACTTTACTCTACTTCTCTCTACTTTAATGTCAGGTCTCAAACTAATTATTTAAAAACTGTCTGCAGATGGTTCAAGCATTTGAAAAAGTACCAGGATTTAAAGAGATTCATGTCGTGGGATTTAGGTAAGTCTGGTTAAATGATATATTGAGATTTATAATTTAAATGTGATTTACAGATTCTTTTAAGCTGACACTCACCAAATAAAACATATTACTGTGGGATATGACTCGGGCATCTCCACATCAGCAGACATCCATCACAAATACGGTGTGTCAGCTTTAAGTGATTCTGACATGTGCTGTATTGTTCAGCCCAGAGGACGTGTCTCTGCGATATGCTGTGGTCTTTAATGGAGAAACGGAGCTCAGTGATGATCCTCAGGGTCTGGAGGAGCCAGAGGCACAGACAGGCCAGGATGTTAATGCTCCGAAACTGAAGAAAATCATAGTTAAGGCCCTGAAACAGGAGCCATCACTGCAGCTGGACATGCAGACACTGAGCTTTGAGACTGGTGAGAGAAATATCATCTTCACATTCAGTCTAATAAAATTCAAGTACCCAGAACTATCTTTTTGAATAACTATAAATGTTTGAACTTCCATTTCAGTAACCACAGTTCATCCAGCAATGGAGATTGGTGAAAACTCTTTGGAGAGTGTTCTTTATGAGGATGATGCAACAGAAGCCCTAACTGAGGACAGCTCCCCCATCTACAATTTCCTTCCCACAGTGGCAGTGATTGATAACTTTCTGGAAGCTTCCGTACTCCTTCCAGAGACACACACATTTGTGCCTTTCTTTCCAAACATCCTCCATGACGCCACGACTGCTGTTACCCCTTTGATGGCAGCAGAAGAGGTGGAGTTGATAGAAGAATCACAAGTGGAGAACGCACCTCCACCAGAGGGAGTCGAGGAGGGTGAAGACGGTCGAGAAGAAGAGGAAGCAGAGGGTAAGATTATATAAATAACAAATTAAATTTTACTATAATATATCTTGTAAAACCTTTCAGAGTATGTTAGTGCTGAGCTCCCATTAAAATATGGAGCTGTACACCAGCTTAATACCTAATGAAAGCCTCAAAATAGTTTGTAGTATAGACCATAACCTACATGACCAAACTGCTACTCACAGCTAATATTCAACCACAATCCACAAAAGGAGGAACTTTTCTTGCTCAGGTGAGGTTGGAATTTTAATGACGGAAATGTATCCTGTAAAAGAATAGATGCAAATTTGTGGGTGATAAATGGAATATGGAGAAATCTTAACCAGGGGCTTAAAACTGCAACCTAATGAGATGTACAGGATTCAGCAGCAATATGAAGCATTAGTACACTGCCTGAGTGATATTTGCATAATTAAGTACTGATGCATGTATTTCTGATGCATGTATTTCTGTCAGACTGAAAAAACTTTTTTTTGTCATAATGTCATCAGACTTGGGGGAAAAAACTTTTTTTTGTCATAATGTCAGGTGATAAGTCCAGTGAGGAAAATTCTGAGGAGCACAGCGAGGATGCTCCCAGGACAGACCCCGGAGAAACCAACAAAGCGGAGGAAGTTGGCCTTGTGGTACCACCGCCTGCAGATCCTCCTGCAACAGAGACATCCATTCCTGAAACTACGGTCCCTGGCTCCTTGCCGTCATCTGATGGGGATTTAGTCCAAAGGAATGATCCAGAAACAGATGTGGAGCCTGCGGCCTCTCCTGCACAGGGCGATCCTGTCCCTGTGGACCAAGCCCCGAACAATGGAGGGCACAGTGGAACAACCCCAGACCCAAAGGACCTGCCTGCTGAGAACATTCAAGAGGATGTCGCAATGAGTCATGACAGAACAGAAGCAGAGGTGACTGAAGCCCTGGAGGAATCTAGTAGCAGTGGATTCCCCTTAGAGTTCGATGAACGTCCGTACGAGTCCACGGCTGCTCCCTCCATGAGACGGGCCAACACTCCTCTGACGACTGCTGTGGACAGGAGCAAAGAGATGGTGGTGTTTTTCAGCTTGAGGGTCACTAACATGATGTTTTCTGATGACCTGTTCAACAAGAGTTCACCGGAATATAAATCCCTGGAGAATACCTTCCTTGAACTGGTAGGTACACAAGCCTTTGTCCTGGATGTTTTTCTTCTGCATGCTGCATTTTCATACTTGGTTTTGTAGCCAAGGCTAAAAGGTGCAATTAATCCAAATTTATTGAATGTCAAGTGTGACATTTTGGTTTTAAAGCTGTAGTGCACAATCATTTATTAGCTCAGTGTTCCTCAATGTTTTTGGTACCAAGGGCCGGTCAACTGAGATCAGCCAGTACTGCGGATCAGTAATATGGCACCATCGTTGAAGTACATTCTTTCACTGTGTCCCACTGCAGCCTGGTACCAAATTACCTAAGGACCGGCACTGGTCCCCAGACCAGTGGTTGGGGACCTCTGCTCTAAATGACCAGTCATCATGTGGTGTTGGATATTGTGTAGACAAACAGTATTTGTAAGATGAAATAGTCATACATAATAGTTTTCATATTTTTCATCAGTTCTTTTCACAGCATTTAACAGAGACCGAATAAACAGCAAAATCACCAAAAACGTACGCACTACAGCTTTATGACGATATTTCTAGTTGATGCAATGATTACGGTAGTCAACTTTGGTGCTGGATGCACTCTTGGTCCTCATGTCAGGTACAGCTATGATGCACTTTCCACTAAGCCTTATCCTCACTCATCTATCTTAGCCATAGGAATGAGAGCTGACTGTAAAAAGTTCTATTTTTTTGTCAATAAATGTATTTTTAATTGATGACTTCAGTTGTAGAGTGTTATAAAGTTGCTGCATATCTTACTTCTGCAGTGTACTCGTGTTTGACAGTTCAAGAGAATGCTTTAATAATAATTCCTTTTCGCTCAGACACAGCACACAGGCTCAAGGATCTCTCCAAACCCTGGAGCTTCCAGTAAATCTGGGCCAAAGAAACTGACGACTTTAGCTTCCATACCGGTATATTCTTTCCAAATTCGAAAATTATGGTCAAACTTTCAAGGATAGCATAACTTTTCTTAACATTCGAATCACAATAACCAACTATTGTATTCTAACTAACATCTCTAACATTTTTAACTCGGTTGAAAAACTTAATTCTAACATTTTTTAGTTTTAGTGGTTAGTTTAGCTGAGCCCAGTCTGGATTAGTTGCTTCTGATACAAATGAGCACATCTTTGAAACAGCTTCTGTCTGGATGAACAAATCTTAAAATGTTAAATGTTTTTTTTTTTTTTTTTTTCATGTTCAATTTCTTTATTTGCTTTTTTTTTTTTTTTTTTTTACATTTTTCTCCTTTTTGTTTTATGTAAATACAGTTGAACTTCATACAGGTTAATTATTGAAATTATTCATATAGAAAAATGTAAAGAATTACAGTGATGACATTAGAACTGATGTCATCACTGTGCATCATAACGGTGGTTTGTAAAATGTGTCGAGAGTTGATCTCGAAACGTTGGTGAAGCCATTGGTGGTGAAGTCCTCATTAATCAGTCTACAGTCTCTCACAATCCCTTTGACAACTGTGTCCGTCAGCTTGTCAGTCGTAGACGTACTAACTGCCCCACTCTCTGTCACGCTGGTCTGACCTGAAGTTGAAGTCCTCCGTGTTGAGTTGGTATTTTAACTACAACAAAAACATTTTCCCGCATTGTATGAAAATTTCAACATGCGTTTTTAAAGTGTCGCAGCATCAGTAGGATGAAGGACAGTGGAATAATTTGATATACAGTGCACATTTTGTTAATATCTTAAAATCTGAAACATTTAATCTGTTTAATCTCACAAATTCATTCATTCGGACTGCCCGCATTTAATCTCACAAATTCATTCATTCGG